CCGGGTGTAGGGTTAGAAATGCAGATGGGCATCACTTTGCAAAGAAAAACAGTTACAACGGTGAGTAACCGTCTTTTACTAGATGCAGTGAGGTCTTCAAATCTCTGAGAGCTGTCTTTGCCCCTTCCCATGGTGTGTGGGGATGTGATGGGGCTGGCTCCCTTTTCTTGATTCATTTGACCTAGTCCTTTTTTGATGAATCCTGGATTTGAATCCTGGCTGGTTAGCAGACTGTGTCCAGCAGGTGGGCATTCTCATTCTGGGTCTCGTGTCTATGGGACCTGCTGCTGTAGACACTGATGAGCGCTCTTGTGGCCATTGCTCTTTGCTGCCTGGAGCCAGATTCTTGGACTATTAAAGAACAGCGTCCTACTTATAGATCTCATGTGTTTGCCTTGTCCCAGGTGGACACCACAGAACAGCTGAAGAGGATCTCCCGTATGCGGCTGGTGCATTATAACTACAAGCCAGAGTTCGCCACCACTGTGGGCATTGAAAGCACGTCTGAAACAGGTACGGTCCCTGCACCAACCCACGGTCTTCATCCTCACAGTTGTATGCTATGTGGGAGTTCTAGTGCAAACTAATGTTGCTCTTTAGTCATAACTCACAGCGCCCCCTGCTGCTCCATGCTAGCTGAGCTGATATCTCTCATTCCTGCCCTGCAGCAGTCCAAAGAAATGATAGAATACATATATGGTATACAAAGAACCTGGGAGTCAGTCTTTATCCAGTTGTCCCTTTCCCAGCTGTTTTTCATTGGCTTTAGACTGAGGTTACATTCTGACTATGCGCAGGCCTTTCAGGAAATTAAGTCCCTACACTCTATGTCTTGATAGCTCGGGGATGGATATTGGTTTCTTATTAATCACTGCATAGTGTGTGGGGTTCATGTCAGCAACCAAGTGACTCGTGAGAAGTAGTCAGCTATTGTGGAAGGCATCTCGGGGGCCAGAATCATGGTGAGTGGTGCTGTGGTTTCCGTGCAGGTGTCATTGCTCAGGAAGTGAAGGAGATTCTTCCCGAAGCAGTGAAAGACACTGGGGACATGGTCTTTGCCAATGGGAAAACCATCGAGAACTTCCTGGTGGTGAATAAGGTTAGTGGTACCCTCCACAGACCAGATGGGGGAAGAGTAGGAACTGGTGATTATAAGGGTGGGGGGAGGATGGTGAATTTTGGTGTGTTTTCTTTTTCCCCTTCACGTAAAGGTAAAGGTGAAACAGAGTCAAAATCTGACACCTAGGAAATGGTCTCTTGCCAACACTTTTAAACCAAGTCTTTCCTGCTTGAGTTTCAGCTAGATGTGTTCTGTGAGCTAGCATTGGCGTCACTTCGCAACCTGGACTCTGGACTCAGGTCATTCCTGGTTGGTGAGGGCCGCTGGGGAAGACCTGAGCCCAGCATTAGTGGGCATTGACAGCAGTTCTTGAGGGAGGGCAGGTTCCTGGCTTCCCTTGAGTAGGCTGTTCTGAGGCCTGTGCCCCGTCCCAAAAAAAATCACTTGCCAAATTAGGACTCTGTATCTAATCTTCCCATTCTGGTTTAGATGACAAAGGAGGTTGTGGCAAGACAGCTTGGAGTACCTGGCTCCCTCAGAACTCCTTGGATCTGGGCAGTCTGGATCCAGACCCAGGTGTGGCCTGAGGCCACACTAACTCCCTTGGAGACGATGTCCACCGTCAGGGGATAAAAATCAGGTGTCCGTGCTGATCTCACTAGATTTACCAGCTGCCTTTCGCATTGCTGACCATGGGGTTTGGTTAACTTGCCTGTAGACCGTAGTGGGAATGAACAGGACCAACCTGGGTGACTCCGTTCCTTCCTGGCTCCAGGTCAATTCCCCTCTGCAGTTAGACGGCCAGGTGGCAACAGTGGCCAGGCATGTCTTTTTTCCCTTCTGCATCTGACTCTTGTAGGACCTTATTACTGCCCCTGTGGTTTTGTACACTACCGACTGGATTCCTGCAGTGCACCATACAGGGAAGCAAGAGCTGGGGCTGAGCATGGTGGGGGCCTGCCTGTTTATGCGGGGTATCTCGCAAGGAGCATGTTACGCTGGGGCTGGACGATCTGCACTGGCTGCCTGCTGGTCGCCGGGGAGAGTTTAACATGTTGGTTTTGAGCTGGGACCTGCCTATTACTATGAATTACCTGTGGGGTCCAGAGGCCCCAGGCAAGGACCAGGTCCCCATTGTTCTAGGCACATAGATCAAACAGTTGCGCACAGGACTCAGGCTGGGATTGTGACAAGACCCAGTGGGGGGAAGAAACAGGGGAAAGGGTTTGGGGATAATTAGGTGACGCCTGAGAGTGCACCTCCCCCTAGCCCCATGGGACAGCGCTGCAGTTGTGAGCAGTGGGGCCTGGGACTGGAGTGCCCTGGTGTACTGGAGGCTGGCAGGGTGCTCGCTCTCTGGAGTGTCAGGATTGGAGGTGTAGGTGAATGTCTCTGTCATTGAGAAGGACTGTACACTGACAGTTGCCAAGGCCTGCTGGTGCCTGAGACACCCTCCTTTATCCAGTTTTGAAGTAAGCGCACTAAGCAATGTGTATAAATATCAGTGTCCCGATGGCTAGTCTGCAGTTGGGTGGGTTTCCTCTCATGCCTTCCCCCCACCGGGGTGCTGAGCGACACGCTGTGACCTTTCCACTGGGGAAGGGGAGGTCTGGAGTGGCTCAAGAGGACAACAGATTTGAAGGAGGCCAGGCAGGTCTGGGTGAGTCTGTCCCTCTTCTCCCGGAGAGGGCTCATGCAGAACAATGTGGCCCCTGGCAGGAGCGGATCTTCATGGAGAACGTTGGGGCGGTGAAGGAGCTCTGCAAACTGACCGACAACCTGGAGACCCGCATTGACGAGCTGGAGCGGTGGAGTCACAAGCTGGCTAAGCTCAAGCGGCTGGACAGCATGAAGTCAACGGTCAGCTCTGGGGCGTTCAGGTACAGGCGCCCTCCCTCCCTCTCCAAACGTGGGGCAGGGGAGCAGAAAGGAGCGTCCCACCTCAGGCCTGTACACCAGTCAGCCTGCACTGGGGGGAATACAGGGAGATACCTGCCTAGACACTGGGGTGGAGGTGCAGGGAGATTTCCTCTTGGGCACCGGCAGCCTGGTGTTGGAGGTGGGTGTAGGGAAATTTCCCCTTGGATCCAGGTAGGCTGGCACTGCGGGAAGGGGGGCAATGTAGGGAGATCCCCCCCCCTCGGGCACTGGCTGCCTGGTACTGGCATGGGGGTTATACAGGGAGATTCCCCCTCGGGCACTGGCATGGGGAGTATACAGGGAGATTCCCCCTCGGGCACTGGCTGCTGGGCACTGGCGTGGGGGGTATACAGGGAGATTCCCCCATCGGGCACTGGCTGCCGGGCAGTGGGGAATGTGGGGAAATCAGAACTTGGTGCGGTGCTGGGATAATGGGGACTGGAGATGATCCATGAGCTGCTGTTGGGGAAACAAACTGAACCTCGGGCTGTGTACAAGACTGCAGCATAGAAACGGCAGCCCGGTCCGACCGTCCCATCCCAGGGTGAGCCGTGTCCTGAGGGTTAAGTATCAGAGGGGTAGCCGTGTTAGTTTGAATCTGTAAAAAGCAACAGAGTTGCATCTGAAGAAGTGAGGTTCTTACCCACGAAAGCTTATGCTCCCAATACTTCTGTTAGTCTTAAAGGTCCTGAGGGTTAATGCTTTCCAACCCGTGAGGAGCAGGTGAAGCCCGTTTTTCAGGCCCTGCCTGCCGGATGGCTCGGTGAGGGGGCAGAGTTCACCCTGCGTTTCCTTTCACCCCTTTGGGCCTTCACCAACAACCGGGCTGTCGGACAGGGCCCTTTAGCCCACCGCGGTGCTCAAAGCTTTCCTCCTGCAGTTACTGAGTCAGGTTCCCAACCTGCACCCCATCCTACCCAGTGGGCTCCCCTGGGGGCCTGGCCAGGTACATCTCACCTCAACTCCTCTTCTCTGCTTGCAGCCAAACAGGAAGTCAGTTCAGCCGTGCAGGAAGTGTGCCCCACAAAAAGAGGCCCCACAAAATGGCCAGCAAGGTACGGGGGCCTTTTGTGAAGGGATGTGGGGTGTGAGGTGGGGGGCTGTGTGTCTGGACAGTGTGGGTGTTCTGGGGCAGTGGTGCAGAGCCTGGGGGCTGTGTTCTGCAGTGGGGGACATGTGAGCGGGGCCTATGTCAGGCCAGAGCTGGCTGTGTCCTCCTCCTGCTGCCCCTTCTCCTGCTCCTAGTGCCCTGCGGCCATCCTGCCTCTCACAGCGGGGCTAGCCAATGCCTTGTGGATGAGCCATCCTGCTGCTGCTTCAAGGACCACCAAAGGGCATTGTGGGATGCAGGAGGAATGGCCTCCTGCACTGCAGTCCTCCCATCCTGGGGAAGGCTGGGGCCCGGGGGAGAGGCCCCAGGGCAGAGTGAAATAGAAATGCAGTGAGCCCTGCACCGGCCAGGCAGCTGATTCCCCTGCGTTTCTCCTGCAGTCCCCATCTGTTATCACGGAACAAGCCTGCATCAGCCAGCGCTTCTTGCAAGGCACCATCATCGCCCTGGTCGTCGTCATGGCGTTCAGGTGAGAGACTGCACAGCCCCGCGGCTGCTCTCTGCCCTCAGCACTGGGAGGCGCTTCCCCCGCCCCATGGCACAGCCAGGGTGGGGACTAATCTGGGGAGATTCCCCCAGCTCCACGGCACAGCAGGGGTCTAGCCTGGGAAGATTCCCCCCGCCCCAAGGCATAGCAGGGGTCTAGCTTGGGGAGATTCTCCCCCGCCCCACGGCACAGCCGGGCTCTAGGGGGGAGGGATAACTCAGTGGTTTGAGCATTGGACTGCTAAACCCAGGGTTGTGAGTTCAATCCTTGAGGGGGCCACTTAGGGATCTTGGACAAAAATCAGTACTTGGTCATGCTAGTGAAAGCAGGGGGCTGGACTCAATGACCTTTCGAGGTCCTTTCCAGTTCTATGAGATAGGTATATCTCCGTTTATATATCCCTGCCCCTCCTCCCCCCACGTGGCTCCGCAGGGATGGCTCTGTTCTGTTTTAAACGTACCATGTTTTCCTGAATGAATTTGTGACAAAATGCCTCAAATGCAAGAGCAAGTGATAGAAAACCAAGTGCCTCTGCTAACAACACCACTCAGCGACTCCTGTGGCTAAACCCCGCCCACGGCTGGCCCTTGGCACGTGGCATTCCCTTGCCGTCAGCCACCTGCCTCTGCAGGACATTCCACTGGTACATGGCATTGTCCTGCAACACATCACCCACCTCTGCATGGCACTCCTCCAGCATCCCACAGCTCTATGCTAGTGCCCCTCTGCAAGCCACAACACTGTAAAACGACAGGAATCTTTGTACTTCACAAGTTCCTTGTAGCTTTTATCTGAGGGTCTCGGAGCACTTTGCAAACAGTGATGAATGACAGTGCTGGGCAAGGCGGGTCAGTATTGTTCTGCAGATGGGGCCCTCGGGTACAGAGAGGGAAGTGATTGGCCACGGTCACACAGGGAGTCTGCAGCAGAGCTGGGAATGGAACACAGGTCTCCTGACTCCCTTAATCACAAGACCATCTTTCCTCTTGAAAATCAGCCCAGGAACAAGGCAGATACCTAACCCTTGTCTTGCCTAACTGCTCTGGAGCGCATCGTCCTCGCACACAAACACAGCAGGATTTAAACGAGGACCGTGCTCCACATCTGTGGCACTTCCTGCAGTTCTCTCACTGAGGGCAAGGACTGCGCAAGCATCTGTTAGGCAGCTTCACCAGCACAACCGTCTCGCCGTGCACTGCCCCCAGAGCAGGGGCTCAGATGTGCTAAGCTGCCTTTTGTTGGAGGGAGAGATCCCCGCCCCGGCCTCTCCAAACCCAGCCCCTTCCAGCCCTCAGGTCTCTCACCTCCACTGTGACACCCTCCTGCTCGCTGACTCCGGCTGGTTCCACTAAAAGCATCTTCCTCGCCATCCACACTGGGCGTGCCCCCCTCCTGGCGCTGCTCCATCCCACCTCAGGGTTACGGTTCCTGGGACAAACTGGTTCCTGGAGTAAGTGGGCACAGTTCTTACTGATATCCATGGAAGTCACACCTGCTTACTCGGGGCTAAATTTGGCCCCTGGCTTCACCTGGGCTACATATTCTGCGCCACCAGCACCTCCCACAAATGGAGGGGGCCTCTGTTTCCTTCTCCAGCTCATGTTTCCACGCGTCCCTCTGTGCTGGCCCCTGTATCTGGAATGCCCTTCCTATCCCAGATCCCTTTCCTCTCCTCCGTCTGCCATCAGCCTCCGTGCCCCTGCCTGAGCAGTGCTGGCCTATTGCCTGTTCAGACAGGGGTAGCTCATGGCAACCCCCCCCCCAGCCAACTAAAGAGCTGATGATAAAAAGAGCCCTGGATGAGGACCCTGTAAGCATTATCTGGGCTCGGAAGGGAGTGGTAGCTGGCCTGCAGCTGCCCACCTAACCTTGATGGGTTTGGACCATTGAGACAGACAGCCACTGTGGTACTGCAGAGGGAGAATCTCCTTCCTCCTGCCATAGTGCAGATACTTATCCCCGGGCGTGTAATCTTCTCTTTCCTTCCCAGTGTGGTGTCCATGTCCACCCTCTATGTGCTCAGCTTGCGCAATGAAGAGGACCTCGCAGATATTGATGGGTACGTATCCCCTTCATGCATGCATCCTCCAGAACATCCTCCTTCCTTTGTTCCCTGGGGGCCTGCAATACTTGACAGACTGGAGGGAATACAGAGATGAGCAGAAAAGACAGGCACAGAGCTGGAGGGATAGGTTTGTGCAGTGAGATTAAAGGAATGATGTGGCTTTGCCCAGACAAGTCAATGGTGGGGAAGTGGGGTTATGGTGCCAGTCTTTTAAATCTTAACTGGGAACAGAGGGTGAAACTGGCCAAGATATATCTATAGAGATATCAGGTGGGTGAGAGAGACAAGCTTTCGAGCCACACAGAGCTCTTCTTCAGGGTTGGGAAAGGTACTCTCAACATCACAGCTAAATGCAGGGTGGAACAGATTGTCCAGCGCAAGTAGTACTTATTGTAAGGGACTATTCAAGGTAGAGCGGCCCGTTAACACGTCTGCAGTCATAGGACAAAAAGAGGGGGTTAGTGAGTTACAGGTTGTTGTAATAAGCCACAAATCCAGTGTCTCTCTTCAGTCCCTGATTTTTAGTGTCTAGCAGAGTAATGAATTTAAGTTCCCAGGCTCGTCTTTTGAAAGTGTTGTGCAGGTTTCCTTTGAGGATGAGGACTGAGAGATCGGATGGAGTGATCGCTTTGTGAAAAGTGCTCACCCACAGCTTATAGGGTGTTTTGTGTCTTTTTATCATTTTCCTGTGTGAGTTCAATCAAGAGTGTAGTGACTGTCTGGTTTTACCCACGTAGTTGTTACTGGAGCGTTTAGTGCATCGAATGAGGTACACCGCATGTTGTGATAGGCATGTGTAGAACCCATGGATCTTGACAGGTGTGTTGTGGGGGTGCTGGTCATTATAGCAGTGGAAATATGCCTGCAGGTTTTGCATCTGTTGTTCTGGCAGGGTCTGGTGCCGCTATGCATTGGTGTGTCCTGGTCTGTGGGGAGCTTGCTTCTGATGATGAGCTTGGAGAGGTTGGGTTTTTTTTGAAGGCCAGACGAGGGGGTTCATGAAAGCTTTTTTTCAGGTTGTGGTCCCCATTGAGCATGGCTTGTAGTTGTTTGATGATACCCCATAGGGTTCCAGTGTGGCATAGTAGGTGACAGCTTAGGGTTGTGTGGTCAGAGAGGGGTTTATTTCTGTACTGCAGCAAGTTCTGTCAGGTATTTGAGAGGGTAACAAGCCTTGTGGATAGGGGAAAGCAGTAGATGTGGTATATCTTGACTTCAGTAAGGCTTTTAATACTGTCTCGCATGACCTTCTCATAAACAAACTAGGGAAATACAACCTAGAGGGAGCTGCTATAAGGTGTGTGCATAACTGGCTGGAAAATCCTTTCCAGAGAGTAGTTATCAGTGGTTCACAGTCAAACTGGAAGGGAATATCAAGTGGGTCCCATGGGGGGATCAGTTCCAGGTCTGGTTCTGTTAAATATTTTCATCAGTGATTTAGATAATGGCATAGAGAGTACACTTATAAAGTTTAGTATCAGAGGGGTAGCCGTGTTAGTTATTTCAAATTTGGTGACAATATATATCTCCAGACCAGTGGCACTGCTATGGGCACCCGCATGGCCCCACAATATGCCAACATTTTTATGGCTGACCTGGAACAACGCTTCCTCAGCTCTCGTCCACTCATGCCCCTTCTCTACCTACGCTATATTGATGACATCTTCATCATCTGGACCCATGGGAAGGAGACCCTGGAAGAATTCCACCATGATTTCAACAGCTTCCACCCCACCATCAACCTCAGCCTGGACCAATCTACACGGGAGGTTCACTTCCTAGACACCACCGTACAAATAAGCGATGGCTACATTTACACCACCCTATACCGAAAACCCACCGACCGCTAC